CAAGGCTGTCCAGGGGAATTTCTGTCAGCCATCTCTTCCATCTCTGCACAGGGAGGACGACTCACTGGCCCATACCGCAAAGGAGAAAGCCGATCTTCTAGGCTCTTTCTTTGCATCTAACTCGACTCTCGATGACGGGGGGAGTACTCCGCCGACCATCCCGCGGTGTGAGTGCTCCATGCCGGGAGTGCACTTCACACAGCGCTCGGTTCGCAAAGCACTCCTCTCCTTGGACATCCACAAGTCGAGTGGGCCTGACGGAATCCCCCCAATTGTGCTGAGGACGTGTGCTCCAGAGTTGGCACCGGTTTTAACGCGTCTTTTCCGGTACTCCTACTCCCTAGGCGTAGTCCCAAAATCATGGAAGACGGCTTACGTCCACCCGATCCCTAAAAAAGGCGACCGCTCTGACCCGTCCAACTACCGGCCAATCGCCATCACCTCCTTGTTCTCCAAAACAATGGAGTCCATTGTAAACTGCCAGCTCATGAGGTACCTTGAAGATCACCAGCTGATTAGTGACCGCCAATACGGTTTTCGCCGTGGTCGGTCAGCTGGTGATCTTCTGGTCTACCTAACTGACAGATGGGCGGAGGCAGTAGAGTTCAAGGGGGAGGCATTGGCCGTTAGTTTGGACATTGCGACGGCCTTCGATCGGGTTTGGCACAAAGCGCTTCTTTCGAAGCTCCCTTCCTATGGGCTTCCCGAGAAATTGTGCGATTGGATCACCAGCTTTCTTGCAGATCGGAGCATCAAGGTCGTTGTAGACGGTGCAAGCTCCGATTGCAAGCCTATTAATGCTGGTGTTCCACAGGGCTGCGTGCTATCGCCAACGCTGTTTCTTCTGCATATCAATGACATGTTGCATACCCGTAACATTCATTGCTATGCAGATGACAGCACTGGTGATGCTATTTACACCGGCCGAGCCAATATTTCTCGGGAAAACGTCTCCGAGTGCCGGGACAAACTTGTGTCCGAAGTCGAGTGTCTGGGACAGAGTCTCGGATTGGGGGCGACTAAATCTAGTCCAGTTTAACCCCCAGAAGACATAAGTTTGCGCGTTAACCGCTAAAAAGAACCCCTTTGTCGTATCCCCTCAGTTTCAAGGCACTCCCCTTGTTGCCTCAGCCAGTATCGGAATCCTCGGCGTCGACATATCGAGTGACGTGCAGTTTCGTGGTCACTTGGAAGGGAAGGCCAAATTGGCCTCTAAAAAGCTTGGCGTGCTCAGCAGAGCGGGACAGTATTTCATGCCGGCACACCGCCTGCAACTTTACAAGGCGCAGGTTCGGCCGCACATGGAATACTGTTCCCATCTCTGGGCTGGGGCTCCCCAGTACCAGCTTCTTCCACTTGACCGCATCCAGAGCAGAGCGGCTCGAATCGTCCACGACCGAGTGCTTTCCGATCGGCTCGAGTCACTGGCACTGCGAAGAGATGTTGCATCTCTTTGCGTATTTTATCGCATCTATCATGGGGAGTGCTCTGAGGAATTGTTCGGATTAATCCCAGCCGCCAAATTTCGTGAACGCACTACACGTCAAACGTCCCGATACCATCCACACCATCTGGATGCTTGGCGGTCCACCACTGTACGTTTCACAAGGAGTTTTCTTCCACGTACAACCTATCTGTGGAATAGTTTACCACCGGCGATTTTTCCGGACCGATACGACCTGGGGACCTTCAAGAAAAGAGCTTACTCCTTTCTAAAGGGCCGGCAACGCACCCGCAATTCTCCTGGTGTTGCGGTTGATCATGGGCGGCGGTAGTCACTTAACATCAGGTGAGCCGCATGCTCGTTTGCCCCTTCTTCTATAAAAAAAAAATGCTTCCAAAATTTGCAACTCTCTCTGTCGCAGGACGGCGATACGGAGCTAGCGATGTGAAACAGATAGCATTTTTGAAAATACCTACTCACGCCGGGTATCGGCACTTCACAATCCTCATAAACCCTTTTAGAAATGAGAGGAATCCTGTGCTCAACAGTGGGTCGTATATAGGCTGTAACTTACGAATACCTAAAGCTATTATTAATATTCCTTTCAACCTCCAACAAGTAAACAGACTTTTCAGTTTTTATTTTTCTCATATTTTTAATTTGTTTGACCATAATATTCCGATTTTTTAATAATTTGAGTCCATTATTAAATATCGCTAAGAGCACATATTATATGCATATTGCATTCTGTCTTCAAATCATAATACTCTATTTAATACGTTGAACAAGTTTCCGGTTCTTTTGAGTGGAACCGCACCTTATTCAAATGAGGCGGCTCTGGGCAAAGCGTTGCCTAAATATTAGTTTAATATTTTGGAAGATTGTATCATGGAGTGAGAGGAAGAGTATTGTAGCTCGAGTAAAACTGGGAAAACCAAATTAATTTTATTATATAAATACTTAAGCTATAAGAAACTTACGTAATACCTTTTAATGTTTGTGCAAAACCTAATATCTTTCATGTTTGTTACAATAATTATAATGATGAACTTTCAAAAAGTAAAAACTGACTTCAAAGAACTAAAAAAATACAATCATGTAAATTTGACGTGGAATATAATTATTTCAATTATAGAGTTTGATGATTTTCTCACGGATCCCATCATCAGATCTTGGACAAATTTATATGGGTCCCAAACCAATTGAAGGTACCCTACCCCATTTGTAAGAATAAAGAATCTATGAAGTCGGACAACGTGGCAAAGAATTATCGCTGAACATACATAAAAAAATTATTTCAACGCATTGAAATAATGAGTTTGATATATTATATATATTTTAATGAGTTTGAATTGAATATTTTTTTTATTTAAAAATGCCATGTTTAATTTTATAAGTCTGATACAAATTTTTAATTAGTATTATATGGACAGGTTCTTCTTTTCTTCTGTATTTCTGGGAAACAAAGCTAAATTTATTTGTTAATAATATATGACATATTTTTTAATTTAAATAATAACACTTACAGATTTCATCAACATTTAATGTACGAAAAATTACCGAGCTGCAATGTTTTATAGTGAACTGAATAAATTATGTAAATAGTACGAGGCGGGTTCTCGCTTTCTTGTAAATGATTTGGCGTTTTGCGTTTAATGGTCGGTCGGATCCACGCACACGGCTCCACATATTAGTGCCACAAATTATTTAATTACTATTTATAATTCCCGTGCCTATTCCGCACGCAACGCTTTGTACTCCGGCAGACTGCTGCCATTTTGTTTACAAAGTATGTAAAAAATTGTAATTTATTTCGAATTTTTAACTTTAATTATTTAACCAACAGTATATAAGTTGTATCAAGGTGAGAAACGTTGTTTAAGAGTTATTTCCTTCCCCTGTGTGACACCAGTTTATCACAAAGTAGGTACAACAATACTAACCCTAAAGTTAGATTTACTGCATATATACGCCCCACTGCTGGGCACAGGCCTCCTCTCATTTCTTAAAGGATTTTATTATTACTTTTAATACTAACTCCAATACAATTTTACTCTCATATAAACTAACCAAGCATGGCTATTACGACGAAACATGCCACAATTTTTAATGTTAATGGATGCTTCCCGAATAAGTATTCAGTAGCATTCTATTTTAATTATATATATACATAACATAATTTTCATTAAAATATTTGGTTGAGTTCAGAAATCAAAGCCCGCCCCAGCGGTAGCTCGCCGTAAATTTCACAGTATTACTCAAGTAACCCGTGTTCGATTCCCGCCGGCACCAATGAGATTGTTAATTGCAATTTAAGTGCTGATTTACGACGCACTCGGCGGGTGAAGTCAAGTACCGTGAGGAAACCTATATATCTGAGAAATTATAAAAAATGTTTAGAAGATATTTGGGGTCAAAGTTTAAAGCAAAGGAAAAGTAGGTAGAACAGAACAGTGGATATTTCCTTGCCCAGAAAATCTTCTCAGAAGTGAGAGAAGCCGTGTCGTGTGAAGAAGTGCCGTGGTCTAAATAGGAGTGTCAGTGGGAAACAGAAGGCCCCCCAGAAGAAATTTAAAAAAATTTAAATATTTTTACCGTACACTACACCGAATCGATAAAAGTAAACAAACTTCCGACGCATACAGTATTTTTATTTATTCCAACCAACAGTATACATTAAGAGAGCAACAAAGAATATGTGCTTACATCTAAAACAATACTATTGTTGATTTCAAAACGGGTGCCTAATGTAGGTAAAACCTGTACCTTAGGTCACCAGGTCCCCACCTGTAGTAGTAATTCACTAAATAGGAAACATAGACAATAGTTAAACTTTAATTACATCGGTAAATACTATGACCGGGGTAGGACCACGCTCTCACAGAATGCCAACGTAATGCTGCTGTGTTTCGTATGGTTAGTGTAGAAAACCGAACTTTTTTACTGGAAACGAGGCATTCCATCTTAGTCCTCGCGGGTGACATCACATCTGCATTTTGATTCTTAATTGACGATAAATATACATGTCTATGGGCTACAGCATCCACTTACCTACCATTACGTGGACTGTGTGCTTATTTGTCATCCTATTCTATAAAAAATATATGTTTGTGCGTAATAAGTAGAGGTTCATAAATAGTTACATAGAGTATTGTTACATATATATATATATATATATATATATATATATATATATATATATATATATATATATTTGAGGAGTGACAGAACAAAACATGATAATTCCATGATGTCTAATTTTTCACAAAGGGTCAAAAACCGGCAACTACTTTGCCTTATTGCAATTTAAAAAAATATAGGTTCTAATGAATAAATAGCTGTAAAAGCTTAATAAGCATGTTCTTTATTATTATTTTTTATTTCAAATTGTTTATCTATTCTCATGTGAAAAATGGAAATATCATGTTCTGATCAGATCTGACGAAAATATCATGTTTTGAAAAAAGTAAGGTTGGGAAATAACATTTTATGTTCTGGATTTATTATTTACTTAATAATTAAAATATGTGACAAATACACAATTAATAGTGAAAAATCAAATTCTTATGTCTTCTGTATCCATTTCAGTACAAATACATGCTTCATCATCATCTATTTCTTCGTTTTGTTCTGCAATGTTTCTAGAACAGCTTAATATTTGTTTGTACCATTCTAATGCCGAAAGGTTCTCCCAATCTGCACCGAACTGTTTTGTTAATAGACTAGTCACATCATTTTTCTTTGCAGCACTCAGTCCTCGGTCTTCCTGAATTTGTTCTATATTTCTGGGGTGACGTCTGCCCCTTTTCAGTAGTGATATAAACTGTTCTCCAGAGTCAAACCTATAGTTTGGTGAAGCTTTTACTACGCAGTTCAATTGTCTGCCCTGAGAAGATTTGCACTTCTTGATTATAATTTTTTTCATGGATTGTATGCCCACAAGTTTTTTGTAATTAGTTTCTAAACCTTTTATATTATACAGACACTAATCCTTACCAAGCTCGCAAACTCTGCCATGTTTAGAAAATATTTCAAAATATTCTTGCCTTGTAGTAATCACTGGTATTTTTCTCACATCTTTCTCAATTCTACCAAATAAACGGTCCGCTGGCATGAAGCTATGCCCTCGCACTGGGAAATAAAGTTGTATTTCCTTAACATGTGTAGGGGACTTATTTTGAAGCCAAAATAGCAGCATATGCAACACATGGCTGTTTTTATTTTGGCCTCCGCAGCCATCACAAAAAAGTCTTACTAACTTCACATTAGCCGGTATTGTTTGAGTATTCAAGAAGCGGTATAATGCAGATCCAATTGAAACAGCACCCTTGCCAGATTCCGTTTCATCCCAGTTATACAGACAAGAATTATTTTGTTCTGATAGATCTATCACACATAAATTATATAGACTAATCTGACGGGAATAAAAAGCCTCCTGAATTGGTGTTCTAGGTAGAGGAAATACCTGCTGGAGATCAAAACGAATAGTAATACTATCATCAACCCTTTTCTTTAAAAGTTTATAGAAAAAATTTGCTCGCAATTTATGGATGCGAAGTTTTGTCATAAGTTCTTGTTTTTTTGTCGAAATTTGTTCGTTTTTTATACTATTACTCAATAGTATACAGGAACTGCAGGCATCTGATGCAGGTGAACGAAATCCAATGTTAAATTCAAATGTGAACACTTCGTAAAACATTGTTCTCTTGACTTTCAGGTCATTTGGCACACTATTATTGTAAAACATTCTCAATTTTTTCATGTTTAAAGCGGCATCCAAATATACCCTCTTGCTTTTCGCTCTATTGTAGTGGCTTTCACTGCAAGGAAGGTTTCGGAGGAAATTGCGTAAATGTTCTTTTTTCTCATGAGATTTGGCTGAACGCCTGTCACCTCCTCTTTCTTCCTTTGGAACTTTGCCATCCATCACACATTTCATAATAGTTGATAACCTCTGCCTTTTGATAGAAAATACTGCCATGAAAAATGATTTGCATACCCTTTTCATTATTTTCTTTTTCCCATATAGGAAGAATGATGTACTTAACTTTCGAAGTTTTGTTTTACCAGAAGGCCGTGGTGTGCCTTTGCCTCTACGTTGGGGTTCAAATGCACTAATGAGACGACATAAGTACACGTCTTGGTGAACTTTTTTGGATGTTGAATAAAAGTTCTTACGGTTTCGAACGACATCCTGTTGCGATATTTGTTTACATTTAAAATTGCTTTTTTGTCCATGATTACACGTACATTGAATTCTTAAGCACAGCGGGTCATTGTCAATGTATCTAAAACAAAATAATGCACATATTGTAATCTTGTAACAGATTGAACATTTTACATGCTACACGAAAATATTTGAACGAACTTACTTATTGTTTCTTTCGGATAAAGCTTTCCTTTCTCGACGTTTCTCTTTCTTCGCTCCACTATTGAGTGCACAAACAGTATTTGACTGCTCAGACATGCTTGTAAATCACTTGAAAAAACTTTAAATAACTTAATTTAGGTATTTCTCACTCGCAGTCCCCAATTTTCTTTAAATACCAACCGAAAATTAGAGATGTGCCCCTCACTCATGAGGTGCCTCGTTTGAGGTACTCGTGATCGCAAATTGAAAGAGTTACTCGATTTTCAACATTGAACCACCTCACTCGTTCACGCGTCCTCACTTAAAAATTGACATAGACATTATTGACACGAGTACTCGCGACTCGCGAGCATCGCGATTGAGTGAGCTTAGCGAGCGAATGAACCGACTTAGAAATCCATATTTACAGTACAGAATAAATTAGAGAATGAGTGAGGTGTGGAATCGAAATTTTGAAAACATTAAACATTATGATTGTGTTATGTACTTAATGAAATAATGATGTTTGGTGTGTGTATGTGTGTGTGATACTGATTTTTGGTAGGATGTTATTTAAATTAAGAAGAGATACAAAAAATTGTGTGAAATGAGTTGCAGGGTAAATAAAACACACGAAGCAAATAAACCGAGTGTATTAATTGAGATCAAGGATAAAAGTAAAAAAATAATCGTATTGGAAAAAACGCGTTTTTCACAATCACAACAATATCAACAATTACTTCACCACACGTGCACCTCCAAGGTCAACATAGGTAAAGTAACATTATTAGTTACTCAAAACGAATTAATAGAGAAAATATTTTTATTTCTGCTATTAATATGAATCTCTAAACGTTAACTATGAACTCTAAAAACATAAGCATTAGATTTTTATTCAAGTGTCATTGATTCGTTTATTTTGGCGGAATTCATGAGCGAAAGAAAATAACGTGTGTGAGGGAGACGTAAAAATCGGAATCGTGAGTACTCGTGAGTCGACGCGCCCGTCCGCCTCTCTTGCCGCTGCCTCGGACAATCGGCTGAGTTCGATTCGAGCTCGGGCTCGGCTCGTGACGTGAATTGAATACGCTGACGTACGATACCTCGCCTCAAATGAGGGGTCCCTCGTGAGGACCTCGCGAGGTAAAACGAGGTGCTCCCTCAACCTCATATAAAAATGATGAGTTACCCATCACCCGAATGCGACCGACGACCAATATTTTGACATTGACTTAAATCTGTAGTCATGTGACATATGTCAACCAAACAACGTAACCATAGACAAATAATGTCCTTTTTTACGGCTTCAGCACCCTAAGCTTTAAGTAAATAAAGGGTTCAAAGTCGATAAGTTATTTTTACATGGAAATATCCTATTTTGTACCAACTCTCAATCTGCTTACCAAAAATGTATGAAATGTATCATGTTTTGTTCCGATTTTGATTATTTACATTTTTAAATATGGAAATATCATGATTTGCTTCAAACTTTTAACTTGAGGGGCTATTTACCACAGGAATAAGCACGATTTGAACCACACCAGCCTAACGGGTGACGTTAATTTATGGTATTCTGTCGAATGTCATTGCTAACTTTTTTTTACAAAAAGTCGAATTATCATGTTTTGTTCCGGCACTCCTCATATATATATATATAATTTTATTAATAACAGATAGGCATTTGATGTTATTTTAGTTTATACTTTTTTATATTGTGTGGAATATATAATGATGTAAGTCACATCAAGCAATTATTAAATAAAATAATAATAATAAATTAATAATTCTTATAAAAGTTTCGTTCTTATTAAAAATGTTTGCTGAATCTAAGTATCATACAGCTTCATAGAGAATATCTTTGTACAGCTTAGATTCAGCAAACAGGAGGCAACCTTATTTCTGCATTTGTATGATAATAAAGAATATACATCAATTTTACTGTTAGATTAGTTGTATAAATAATAAGAACCAATTAAACCAAAAACGTATGTGCGGATTTCGTTCAAAGTGCCTTGTACGTGTATACCAAGTCTAACTATGTTATCTTTGTGTAACCGATTGGACAATGGCTGTCGCACTGACATAGTAATTTCCACTCCTTATAAAGTGCTTTAGTAGGGTAAAGAAAATTGCGACAGGATGGTAATTTTCGGATTGATCTTTGGACTCTTTGTAATAATAATATTAATGATAAAGATATTAATAGTTATTTTGCAAACGTCCGCTAAATTACATAAAATGATTTATCTTCCCTAGTTGGAAGAGCACATTCCGCCCTCCCTTAATTGCGTGCACTAATCCCGTCACCACCAATCCCAGCACCACTACTCCTAACGCCACTACTCCCAACACCACTATTCTAGGAAAGACACACCATCGACGATAATACGACACGTGTTTCGCCTCTACACGAGGCATCTTCAGGTGTACACCTGATTAGTGCACGCAGTTGAGGTAGGGCGGGAGGTGCTCTTCAAATTAGGGAAGACACATCATTTTATTTAATTTAGCGGATGGTTGCAAAATAACTATTAATATCTTTATTATAATGGATTTCTGCAAAGTAACGCCTGATTCTATCAATATTAGTAATGATTCTGAAGAGCCTTCCTTGAGAGCCTACCCATACAGATATGGAATTGATCGAAACGGCTGACATAATACGTAATATACCTACTGCTTTGATTAAGTAAAATTCAAGAATATGTATGTTCTGAATGTACAAATTAATTTACGTACCCTAGTTTTTAGGAGAGTAATGTGCTTTTCAAAGTTTAGAAGCTGATCTATAGTAACACCTAGATATTTAATAGAGCTATAATAATAGTAATTGTTAATTCTGTGCATGAGCATAAAGACGTTTGACCACAAGAGTGAACAATCAATGTGTTGGTGTTTCACATTGTTTTGTCTGTGTTAATCGTCAAAAGGTTACAAGCCTTATTTGGGCATATCTAAAAACCTGCTACTGAAATTTAACGTCAGACGAGAAAATATTTAATTTCTCACCTTTTTATCGTATATGTGTGACAAACGAGCTTAAAGTCAATAAATTGGGATGTAATTGAGCAAAAACTTGCCTGAGTAAACGTTTACATCATTGATGTAGTACTTTTATGATACACTAATTAGTGTTTCTGAAAACGTTATCTCGATTGCTATAGTGCACGGTTGTGATTAGGAAGGCATTGTGCTTAAAAGAAAACATAAAAAGTTTGTCGGCGCAGTTTCCAAAAACGTCAAAATGGTACCCGTGCACATTGTGCCCGTTTTCTCCGCAGAAGGAGGGTTATACTTTTCATTGTTATTATACAAAGGAACAAACAAACAGCTTAATGGTTAAGAACCAAGACTGCGAAATTAAAAAGTTGTACTTTTGAATCCGCACTTGTACAACTCTCGCATATAATTGAATGTTTCTTCTCCTACTACAAGCATTTTAAGCTAACAGTATTTTCAATATATACTCCGTTTAACTGTTCGTTTGTGATTTCCAGTAGCCTAAACGGCTTTGTAGATTTGGAGCCGCGCCATGTTTTTAGATTTGTCTTTATCTCCGGATTATCATTGACGACATTTTAATAATAATAATAAGTAGTGGTTGCACATAAACACCTATGAAGTGTTTACGTGAAGCCTTTGAGTATTCTAACAAACTTTGAGTAGGAATTCAACAAATCAACAACAAAAAAAAAACAACAAATTGGTTTAATACTCAAAGCGTGAAGCGCATTCTGACATAAAAACCTGTCATCTTGATAGGTAGTAATAAATCACTGAGTTGAGTAAGGTATTTGAATTGAGTAAAGTATTTGTTTTTATTAATATTGCATTGTGTTTAAGAAATTATAAGTCAACATTTTCGTAGATAAATTTTATTAAAATCAGTTGCAATCATTATCCATAAAAATAAATTTAATACAAATAATAACAAAACTAATAAGCACAATTAAAGACGTAGATGCGTGAGGGCAATGATCACCATCAATGAACGAAGTGTCGCCTCGACGCGTCTTGAAAGAGACCTGGGACCATGTCTTGCAGTGGACTGTGTGATGATGACTGAGTGAGTGGAGTGGATGATGATGATGGATATATACAACTGTGTAGTGCAGTGCAGCAACAGTGCGTCAATATAATACAACTTTTGTTGGAACAATTTTCTTAGCACGTAAGCCAGAACACTTTTTACCTGAAAATACACCGCGAATTTCGTTTAAAACACATCAAGCGTAATGTTTTCTTAATTTTGATGATGGAATGATTGGTCACGGTCCCAAAAGCGAAACCATTAACTTCGCATTCCACTGGCAATGAAAAAGAGGACTCGAAGGAGCCCGAGGTGCAAACAGGGCGGGCCGGTACTTTACTCTGCCACCTCGTTCCGAAAGTAGTGACAAATGGAGGCGGCATCTTTCATCTCCCGGGGCGATGTGTAGCCTTACAGTCAAACACCAACTTTAATATTAAGGATCTAGGTTGATATTCCTGCGCAAGTTGCACATGATTAACGAAATGATAACGCTGTAATGAAATTCGGAAATAATCGCAAATCGTTTTCGAAATCCACGATGTAGGGCGACGTCTACCTGAATTGAAAAAAAATTCATCGCATCTGGCTGTAACTTAACAAATATTGAGCTTTCGAAATACAAATAGAGACAATTGAAATAATATAACGTTCGACGTTGGCGCAAGACTATCATTTCGTTTAATGAGTGGCTTGGTTATGTGTTTCATAGTAAACGTCTATGGGAACTGCCTCATTGGTCTAGTGGTTGTAGTAGTGCGACTGCTGATCATGAGGTCCTGGATTCGAATCCTGGGTCGGGCCAAAAATCTATTATTGAGTCTTTCCGTCAAGAAGTTCTCAGTAGCTGCCCGGAGTCAGAAAGTTGGCGGTGTGTCACCCCCGTGCCTCGGAAAGCACGTAAAGCCGTTGGCCCTGCGCTTGATCTCTCTCCGGTCGTGTCGGTTTACCGTTCCGTAGGACTATGAGAGTGAGGGAATAGAGAGTACACCTGTGCTTGCGCATACCCTTGGGCACTATAATCCTGTCCTTTGCCGATGGCTAGTCTCCGTTGAGGCTGGCCGCCTCGACCGAAATTCGGTCTGGA